CTGAAATCAGACTGATTATATTCTTTGCAGACAAAGATGGAGAAGCTATATACGGTCAGCAAAAACAAGACCAGGAGCTGACTGTGGCTCAGATCATGAACTCCTTATGCCAAATTCAGACTTAAACTAAAGAAAGTGGGGAAAACCACTAGACCATTCAGGTATGACCTAAATCAAATCCCTTATGATATACAGTGGAAGTGAGAAATAGATTTAAGGGCCTAGATCTGATAGACAGAGAGCCTGATGAACTATGGACGGGGGTTCATGACATTGTACAGGAGACAGGGAGCAAGACCATCCCCAAGAAAAAGAAATGCAAAAAATCAAAATGGCTGTCTGAGGAGGCCTTACAAATAGCTGTGAAAAGAGGGGAAAAGAAAAGCAAAGGAGAAAAGGAAAGACATACCCATTTGAATGCAGAGTTCCAAAGAATAGCAAGGAGAGATAAGAAAGCCTTCCTCAGTGATCAGTGCAAAGAAACAGAGGAAAACAACAGAATGGGAAAGACTAGAGATCTCTTCAAGAAAATCAGAGGTAACAAGGGAACATTTCATGCAAAGATGGGCTCAATAAAGGACAGAAATGCTATGGACCTAACAGAAGCAGAAGATATTAAGAAGAGATGGCAAGAATACACAGAAGAATTGTACAAAAAAGATCTTCACAACCCAGATAATCACAATGGTGTGATCACTCACCTAGAGCCAGACATCCTGGAATGTGAAGTCAAGTGGGCCTTAAGAAGCATCACTACGAATAAAGCCAGTGGAGGTGATGGAATTCCAATGGAGCTATTTCAAATCCTAAGAGATGATGCTGTGAAAGTGCTGCACTCAATATGCCAGTAAATTTGGAAAACTCGGCAGTGGCCATAGGACTGGAAAAGGTCAGTTTTCATTCCAATCCCAAAGAAAGGCAATACCAAAGAATGCTCAAACTACTGCACAATTGCATTCATCTCACATGCTAATAAAGTAATGCTCAAAATTCTCCAAGCCAGGCTTCAGTAATACATGAACCGAGAACTTCCAGGTGTTCAAGCTGGTTTTAGAAAAGGCAGAGGAACCAGAGATCAAATTGCCAACATCCGTTGGATCATTTAAAAGCAAGAGAGTTCCAGAAAAACATCTATTTCTACTTTATTGACTATGCCAAAGCCTTTGACTGTGTGGATCACAATAAACTGTGGAAAATTCTGAAAGAGATGGGAATACCAGACCACTTGACCTGCCTCTTGAGAAATCTGTATGCAAGTCAGGAAGCAACAGTTAGAACTGGACATGAAACAACAGACTGGTTCCAAATAGGAAAAGGAGTACGTCAAGGCTGTATTTTGTCACCCTGCTTATTTAACCTATATGCAGAGTACATCAGGAGAAACGCTGGGCTGGAAGAAGTACAAGCTGGAATCAAGATTGCTGGGAGAAATATCAATAATCTCAGATATGCAGATGACACCACCCTTATGGCAGAAAGTGAAGAAGAACTAAAGAGCCTCTTGATGAAAGTGAAAGAGGAGAGTGAAAAAGTTGGCTTAAAGCTCAACATTCAGAAAACTAAGATCATGGGCTCTGATCCCATCACTTCATGGCATATAGATGGGGAAACAGTGGCTAACTTTATTTTTTTGGGCTCCAAAATCACTTCAGATGGTGGCTGCAGCCATGAAATTAAAAGACGCTTGCTCCTTGGAAGAAAAGCTATGACCAACCTAGACAGCATATTGAAAAGCAGAGACATTACTTTGCCAACAAAGGTCCAATTAGTCAAGGCTATGGGTTTTCCAATAGTCACATATGGATGTGAGAGTTGGACCATAAAGAAAGCTGAGTGCCAAGGAATTGATGCTATTGAACTGTGGTGTTGGAGAAGACTCTTGAGAGTCACTTGGACTGCAAGTAGATCCAACCAGTCCATCCTAAAGGGGATCAGTCCTGAGTGTTCATTGGAAGGATTGATGTTGAAGCTGAAACTCCAATACTTTGGCCACCTGATGCGAAGAACTGACTCATTGGAAAAGACCCTGATGCTGAGAAATACTGAGAGGAGGAAGAGAAAGCGGTGGCAGAGGATGAGATAGTTGGATGAGATGGTTGGATAGTCCATCACCAACTCATTGGACATGCACTTGAGTAAGCTCTGGGAGCTGGTGATGGACAGGGAGGCCTGGCCTGCTACAGTCCATGGGGTCTCAAAGAGTTGGACACGACTGAGCCACTGAACTGAACTGAGCTATGACAATTAATTTTACTAGTCAACTTGGCTAAGCCCTGGTACCCAGTTTTTGGTGAAATATTAGTCTGAATGTTGTTGAGAAGGTATTTTTTAGATTTACGTTTAAACGTGATTAACGTTTAAGTCAGTAGCCAGTAAGTAAAGCAGATTATCCTTGATAGTGTGGGTGGGTCTTACCCGGTCAGTTGAAGGTCTTACGAGGAAACACTGAGGTTCCCCGAGAAAGGAGTTCAGCTTCCAGGCTGTCTTCAGAGTCAAGGCTCCAACACCAGCTCTTCCCCATTCCTAGCCTGCTGGCACGTCCTCCAGGTTGGGACTCGCCAGGACCCACAACTGTGTGAGTCAATTTCTTCAAATAAATTCTTCTCTGTCTGTCTGTCTGTCTCTCTTCCTCCTATTGCTTCTATTTCTCAGGAGAATTTGGCTACTAATGTAACTTTCTCTCTCTTGTTGAACATTGTAGATTTAAATATGCTAGTCTGGGTGAAGATATGTTTACTTGGAAAACTCTCTTTAGTATTAGAGTGAAAAGTGCCACTCCTCTGGTTTTGGGGTTAATAGTTGCAATGAATACTTCAGGTAAACACCAACCTTTAGGTTTTACTTTGTGTTGTTCTGGGGAGGCGGTGTGGCCTTGCTGCAAGGCATGCGGGATCTGAGTTCCTTCACCAGACTTAGTTCCTGTGCTCCTGTCCTCTAAGGTGGAAGCCCGGAGTCTTAACCACAGGACCACCAGCCCTCAGTTTAGATAAGCATTTGCCAGTGGGGAAAGTAGAAAGATTTCTGGCATTGGAAAGCTTGCTGGAACTAGGTTATCTTTGAAACCACAATCTTGGGTTCCACAGGAAGCATATACACTCAGCGCAAGTAGGTGGTGATAGTCTGAAAAGTACTCCTTGGAAATCTGAAGTAGGTGCAGCTGTCTTTAACCAGTGGAAACTTTAGACATAATGCCAAGAAATGGTCTACCAAAACCTCCCTTCCATCTATACACTGACCTGCTTGGTTCTGCTTTGGCTAAATGCACAACCGATGTTTATTTTGCTTCTAAAATTGTTTGCTATTGTTTCACAAACATTGTAACAGCAATTAAGGAATTTTGTTTTAAACAGAAAAATTGACTTACAACCCCACTACTGTAGAAACTCATTTTGTTGAGCCTTTTCTTTTTCTTTTAACAAATATTTATTTAATTGGTGGCACTGGCTCTGAGGTGTGGCACGTGGGACCTTTAGTTGCAGCATATGGGATCTAGTTCCCTGGTCAAGGATCCAGGGAACCTCGGCCCCCTGCGTTGGGATGGCCAAGTTCTTTTTAGCCACTGGACCACCAGGGAAGTCCCTTGTTGAGCCTTTATAAGGACACAGACAAAAAAAAAAAAAAGCTGGCAGAACTTGGAATCCAGGGCAGCAGGCCTCTGGAGAGGGGAAAAGCACAGAGAAACTAGGCTGGAACAAAGGTCGCCTCTGAAATGAAATTGAGGAGTTGAAATTCTCCCCAGGGCAGGGTGGGACTGAAAGAGCATGCATCCCTCTTGGAAACCCCCAGGGCTGTCCGGTGTTTGGGTCCCAGGCTCAACAATCTGCGGCCGTTTCTGTTTTGTCTGTCAGAGCCCCAGCTCGGGACAGTTTGGCAACTACAAGGTTGGGTGCGACAGACAGAGGAAACGGCCGTGGCTAGACTGGAGCCTGCGTGCAGGTGAGTGGGGCCACACCAGGCCACGCAGCACGGCTCAGCCGCGCCTCAGAGCCGCCGGCCCCACGTCGCTGGCCTGCTGGTCTCCTTACTCTGCGGGTCTGGGCTGTGGTGGGAAGGGAACACTGTCCAAGGCCGTCTTAACCTGGTGGTGCAGGGAGCTGATGAGAGGGGAGGACAAATGGCAGGCAAACTAATTTGTATTCACTGCATCCCCGCTGCAGAGGAGAGAGATCAAGCTCGCTGCCTGGGTGTGAGCCCTCCTGGCCATTTAACTGCTCCATGCCTGCTTTTCCTTTGGCACCAATAACAACACTGATGCTGGAGCTATTATGAAGACTCAATTATGATGCACGAAGTACTTAGAACAGCCAGGAACATACTAAGCGCTACAGACATGTGTGCTGTTACTATCTTTACTTAAGTAATAACTTGAGCAATAAGATGAGCACCCTGCTCATCTTTTCCCACTGAGGAAACTGAGGCTCATCAGGATTAAGTCAATTACCGGAGATGGCAGAGCCTGAAACCAAACCCAGATTTATCTGACAGCAGTGTTTTCTTCTCGGAACATGACCGGGCCTGCTCACTGCTATTTAATTCCCTCTCCTGCTTGCCAGCTTAAGGCTGTTTATTCTCTTTGTACCGACAAGGGTGAAATCCTATATGACGGAGGCTCTGCCTTTAATCCGTCATTCATGGGGGTGTGGGCACTTCCCCATACACCCTCCTCTTATAGACCTAATCTGGCCCTTCTGATAATTGTCTGTGCTTCCTCTGACTTTCAGAAAGCAGAGGATAACAACTAAATAAAAGAAATACTCTGAGAAGCAGGAGCCCTGTCAGACTGCTGGATCTAGGGGAGCAACAGCAACAGTATAAACACGAACTTTAAAGGTATTTGAAATTTTTCTAATAGCTGTATCAAAAAAGTAAAAACCAAAGGCAAAGTTAATCTTAATAATATTTAACCGAGTATATCCAAAATATACTGTTTTGACCTGGAATCAATATAAAATTATTCATAACAGATATATTGATCGTATAATATATACACATCTCATAATATGTATCTCATTATATATATTGTCCAGTTGCTAAAGCGGGTCACTCTGTGGCCCCATGGACTGGAGCCCGCCAGGCCTTCCTGCCCTCTACTGTCTCCCAGGAACCTGCTCAAGTTCATGTCCTTTAAGTCCAGGGATGCAAGTGTGAAACCCATTGTGTATCTCACACATGCAGCCCTAGGAGTCCAACAGGTACCAGCTAGACACAAGGATGCGCTTGTTGCAAGGGCCTTCATTTATTCTATGTCTCTCTGCATCCCCTTTCTTCTTCCAGGGGCAGAGTCTGGGATGAAAAAAAAATGGCTGAAGCAGTGAAGTACCCCCCTCATCCCCCGCCCCCGCATCGTCCCCGCTGAGGGCCGTTTTGCAGGCAGCTGAGATTTCTCCTGCGGTCAGACGGTCTGTGCCCATCTGCAAAGCTTGCACTTTTCACCCCACTGGGCCAGGGGTGAGGATGGGGGCGCTTCAAGTTCTAGGGGGACTCGGGCCTCTCCTGGACCCCCCAGTCCTTCCCAGCACTCGGAGCCCAAAGGGGCAGAGCGGCCTCCGCCGGCACAGCACCCCGGGCGGGGGGCGCGGGGCGGGCAGTCGGACCTGCCGAGCGGGCTCTCGGCCGGGCTCGGGTTTCCTGGGCCGGATGGCCGGCCACAGCACGGAGGCCGCGAGCTCGGGATGCCCGGCGGGCGTGCGCGGCTCGGACCCGCCCGCGCGCGGCCCCCGGTGCAGCTGCCGCCTCCCCCGGGCCGGAGGCGGTGGGAAGCCCCCTCCCCGGCTCCGCGCCCCCTTGGCGGGGCCCTGGGCGGAGCACCTGTCCCCCGGGACGCCCCATGGGGGCCGAGCGGGGGCGGGTGCGGAGGGCCGGAGAAAAGGCGCAGGCGGCGCGCGCGGCGGGAGTGAGGGCGCCCGGCGAGCGCGGGACGGGCACGCGAGCTGCCGAGCTGCGCGCACAGGGGCCGGGAGCCCGCGGAGCAGCCGGGTGCTCGCGGCGTCCGAACGGGGACAGGTGAGGGGCGGCAGGTGACGGGCGACGGGAGTCCCAGGCCGGAGGCCGCGGACCAGGGACGCGTTGGGACCGAAACAAGGGCAGAGGGAGGACCAGTCCCGGCGGCGAAGGGGCGAGGGTCCGCCTGAGGGGCCGCTGCCCCTTTAAGGTTGCCGGGGCGACGGCTCTGGCCAGAGCGAGGCGCATTGACGTCAGCAGCCGGGCGCTGATTGGCTGCGGCGCGGTCGTTTCCGGTGGCGCCGTTGCGGAGCCGCTATCGCCGAGTGGAGCGGAGCCGGGAGGGCGTCGCTGAGGGAGTCCCGCCGGCCGTCTCCGAGCCCGCAGCCCAGCCCGCCGCCGCCCATCCGCAGGTGAGGGGGCTTGCGGGCCCCGGCGCTCCTCGCCTCGCCGCCCGCCGCCCGCCCGGGGGCGCCGGGCCGACCCAAGATGGCGTCGCGGGGAGAGCCCTGCGGGGGGATGGCCGCCCGCCCGCGCGGCCTCTCCTCACGGCTGCCGCGGGCCCCGCGCTGACCGGCGTCCGCGCCCTGGGCCGCCCCGGAGGCTCCCGGGTCCCAGCGCGGGCCCGCCCCCGCCGCCGCGCTCGCCCTCCCCCCACAAGGGCGGCGGCGCGGGGCCTGCGGAGCCCCCAGCCCTTCCGGCCGCCTGGGGGGCGGGGGCCGTGCTTTTCCCCTGCGGCCGCCTCCGCGTCCGCCCGCTGCGATTCCCGACAGTCCCGGCCAGCCGCCCGTCCCGCCCCCGCGGCGGCGGCCGCCGCCGGCCTCCCCCGTCAGTCTCCTCACGCCGGCCTACCCCGTCATTCCCTCTCTCGTCGGCCTTCTCTCGTCGGCCCCCCCTCGCCTTCCCCGCCCGCTGCCCCCCTCTGGGGTGTCCCCGCGGTTTTCCGACCGGAGTGAGATGGGGGCCTCCCTCCCGCGGCCCGGGCCCAACTGCCGCGAAGGGCAAGTCCCTGGCCTCCTGCGACACGTCCGGGGTACCCGGGAGCCCCCCCGCCCCAGCCCGGGGCACGCGCGTCCGCGCCGGGAGGAGCCCGCGGGAGTGGCCTTCTCCGTGGTCCCCGAGGATGACCCCCAGGAAGGCCGCGGCCTGAATGAGCGACCTTCTCAAAGGGTCTGACATACTTCCTCGCGTCTAACCCCTTGGATACGGCGTTGTGTTACTATCACAACTGATTTTCGAGAAGAACGAATCCCAGTGTTTTTTTTAGGAGAGACAATGCGGTGTCCGTTTTTCAGCAGTTAAATAACTGGGGACGAGGGAGAGCTAAATTGTAGGCTGTTAGAACTGAGTACAAGTGCAGAGTGAATCTATTCCATTAAGAAATTAAGACCGTGAAATGGATTTTCTGGGGTTCACACGATGAACGCATCAATCCTGGGGCATTTCTATTAATACGCCCCCAAATTACCAGTGTCCTCTTTCTGGTCTTTTAAATACATTGTTGCAAAAAAAAAGCCAGTTTCACCCCTTGGACCCAGTTCTCTCATTTCTACCACAGACCTGACCTTTGAATGGTTTTCTCTGGTCAGTTGAAAACATGTATTGACATTCCCGAAATGTATCTCAATGTTTCGAAACACAGAAAGATCTCATTGACCGTTTTTGGTGTCTTTCAGTACAATGTATTTTCTAAAGCAGAAAATCCTGAAGTGGATTTTAAGTTGGTATGGTTGTCTGCCTTGTGAAAGAGGCGGGTGTAAATCTAAAAGTAATCTTTGTGTGTGTGTGTGAGTGTGAGTGTGTGAGAGAGAGAGAGTTTATTTCTGAAGGAGCAGCAGGAATCTTTTTCTGTGGCCTCTTTAATTTATGTGCCTGTCAGGTGTCTACAAACTTTCTCATGGTCTGTTAATTAGTCTACTGTTATTGACCTTTATCATGAAAGCTGTCAAAACAAAATGAGTAACAGCATTTTGTACTGTGGCTCCTCACTGTGCTGTTTTTTTGTCCTTTGAAATTTAGTTCCATCTCATTGGTTTTGTGTGTATTGAATTTGGAAAACGTGGGTTAGTACTGAAATCTCTTGCAGAGTGGCAAGCACCTCACCTTTATCTTCTGATCTTAATTACATGATAATTAGGAGTTGGAAGGAAAACAGTTTGTGACTCTTTTGTTAAGTTAGTGAGCTTTGAATTCCAGGCTAAGATTAGCCGCCCATTTATTGCATTTATTTTAGTTCACATCGAAGTAGTTTAAACCCTCTAAAATTCACTAAATGTAGTTTATCTATTGAGTCTTCATGTGAGTTAAAAACTTGATGTTTTAACATTTGCCTATTCAAATCTTTTATAGTTTACTTGTTAAGGTGTTTATATGGTGTTTTTGTTTTTCTATTAGTAGCGTTAAAGATTTTCCCTTTTACTAGTGGATAATTGTGTTATCGTTTAAGACTGGAATCTGGTACAAAGAGTTTGGGATTAAAAATTGGTTTTATAACTCATCTGGGTTTTCTTTTGTGTTTTAAACCATTTTGGTTGTGTTGGCTGATGAGAGCCTGTGCTCCAGTGGTTTGCTGGGTGAGATCAGCCTGCTCCCCTGGGATCCAGGTTATGTGAAGGGGATGTCAAATGTTCCTCATGGTGCTTCCTTGCTTTCACCCAAGTGCTGACTGGCATGCCTTCTAATTCTCTGTCCTTTTTACCCTTTGCACACTTCCTGCGTCATCATGATTTCTTTTGCAGGAAAGAACTGAATGAAATTCCCTTGGGGCCTGCCTGACTCCTCGGCACCAGCCCCTGCCGGGGAGAGCCGCCCACACTTCCTCTCTCGGCCGGGTGTCCGGCCCGCGTGCGCACCTCTCGGGGCCTGGGCCCTGAGCAGCAGGACCTCGGTGCAGCACTGCCTTGCCCGAATGTGCCTTCTCGTCATACTTCACTCCCTGGTCCTCACCTCCCTGTTTTAAAATTAAAAAAACCTACCTAGTGAGAATGAAATCTTTGTGAACCAGTTGCCTGGTGAATTTGTTAAGGTGAAGGCCAGCTTGACGTTTGCTTTTTGTGACTGGTTCTCAAGCTTCTGTGTCTTCTCCGTAGTGAGCCATGGCGTCCGGCACCGCCGCCAGCGAGGAGGAGCGCAGCCTCCGGGAGTGTGAGCTCTATGTCCAGAAGCACAACATCCAGGCGCTGCTCAAGGACTCCATCGTGCAGCTGTGCACCGCCCGGCCCGAGAGGCCCATGGCCTTCCTCCGGGAGTACTTCGAGAAGCTGGAGAAGGTGAAAATGAAGGGGGAGCTCGAGAGCTGACCCTGATGGTTGTGAAATGCAAGGCTGGAGAATGTCACTGATCTCTATCTTTGGGAAGAAAAGGGATGCTGACCAAATAAGAATTTACAATCATCATCATTTAAAATAGAATTTCAGAAAAGAATACAGTTAATGCATTTGTAGTAATTTGTAACTTTATAATCAGAATTTATCAGAACTACTCTGAATGCTCAATTTACTTGGCGAACAGGTTTTCCAACCATAGTTCCTTGTAACTGTTTTAATTAATACATAAAATGGACCAAATGAAATAACTGAGTTGGTTCAGTTGATTGGAAGTAGTACAGCACTGGTCAGCAGAAACTATTGCAAGATTGTAAATCGTTTATATTCCAGTAAAAATTAAAAAATTAAAATGGTACATCAGTGGTGTGAGTTGAGAACTTTTGCAGTACTTGAAAGCATTTAATGCTGTTTTCTTTAGCAAAACAAACTTGTAGGCTTTATCCTATGTTTGAAATCACTGTTCTGGAGCATACAAGTCTGGCTTGTGACTAGTGTATCAGAAACTCTGAGTTGTCCAAGTGTGTTTTACTGTAGGATATGTCCCAACGTAAGTTGACTCTGGAGCAGAGAGAGTAAGATTGATGGCTGTCAGAATTTTACTTTATTTACAATTCTGGTCAGGACTTGTTTCCTCTTGAAAAAAAGAGAGTCAGTTTTTACTCATTGTTGTTCATCCTTACTGTGTGTGTGTCAGTCAGACCTAAGCATGGGGCATGTGCTTTTCTAAGCCAAGTGGTCATTTTTCATCAAGGTCAGTGCTTTAGTTCAATCCCTTAAAAAAAATGATGAATGAGAAAGTTTGGATTGTTAAGAGTTTTGAGTAGTTTGTTTGATTTGCTCCTGAAATTTAAGCAGGCTAAAGTTACAGATTTTCTTAACTCATATTGAAGTTTTGATGTGGTTCATAATGACTGTGAATCACTTGGGAGGCATTTTCTTAGGTGTATGATTGTTAATTATCTAGTTGTATTGCAGAAAGGTTTGTACTGTATCCCACTGGTTTGGGCAACTTCTCAAACAGCATAATTTATTAGTAAAAGAATCTGTTTTACTAATGTTCAAAAAATGTTTGGGTGGCTCAGTGATTGGACCCTTCTTCCCGTTTTCTTGGAAAGCTGTTGAAATTGGTTTTTAGTATTATGGTTAGAATAATTAAAAACAACAGGAAAACCTAACCAGTCCCAGTGAATTGCGGTAGAAAGTCTGGTTTTCCTCTTACTGAAGCAGTTGCTGGTCGTGGAGCGTTGTCGCACCAGGCTGCTGTGGGCCTTCCCTCCCTGTTTGGAAGTGAAGTGCGTTCCTGGAGGTCTGGTTCTGAAGTCGGTCACTGTAAGGTGATCCCTCTGCTCCCCGGACATCAGTAGAGCCACCCGCTGAGCGGCCGAGGTGGGTGAGACGTGAAGTGTGTGTCTTTTTATAGGGAGAGTGGAGTGTGGTGCTCATTTCAGGGCCTGTTTTTTCATGGCCCTTTTGGAGCACTGACTGCAGGGAAAATAGGAGAGGATCATGCAAGTAGTTTCTTTGCACATGGGGTTTTTAGATGTGATGTGTGTCGGCCTGTCTACCTTTTAATAGAGTCACAGCTTACCACTTTTTCTGTAATTCATGGATTTTTGTACATTTGCATTCATTCCTTTAGCCAAGGTTGAATGCAGATATCCTGACATTGGAGAAACTAGAGTTTCAGCTGTTCAACAGGTCATCTTTCTGTACGTTAGGTGTTGAGTTATATGTCTGAAACTACAGTCACACTCTTGTCACCCCTTTGCCGTGCTAACCAGGGCTCATGTTTCTGGTTCCCTCAACTGGTCAGTAAGAAATGCCCCAGAAACCTATCTCAGTTGGTCCTTTGACAGCGTCTGCGTTTTACTTCAGACTGTTGTTTGTAATCCGAGTCTTCTCTTCTGTGTGTGTTCATTTGAACCTTGCCAACTAGTAGATGAGAGGATTTGTGATGGCTCTGACCATGGAGTGCCTCCCGTGTGCCAGGTGCTGTGCGAGCCCTTGACCTTTTATAAATACTCATTATTTCAAACGTGTGAGGTTGGTGATTGTCACCATTTTACAGAGGAAGCAGTGAAGCTAAGAGGGGTCAGGGAGCTTGGCCGTGGTCACACAGGGACCAGCTTTTGTTGCAGCACTTCGTGAATCCTGGGTCTCAGTGGTTACTCCACATGTCCTGATACTTGGCCACGTGCAGCCATCTGTGCTCAGCCCATCTTGTCTTGGCTGCACATGTCTTGTTCCGGGGTTCACTGGAAGGAGCAACCATATATAAGGCATGCTGTTCTCAAGGCAGAGCGGGTCAGACGCTCCAGGGGCCAGAGTACAATCTTACAAGAGGACGTGGTGTGGCAGAACAAGCCATGTACCAAACCCCGAGTCAGTGGGCTGGGATGTCGACTTCATCCTTTGGGAAGAATGGATGTCAGGGCAGGGAGGATGGTGCAAACACGTTGAGTTAGCCACGAGCATGGAATCAGAACTTAATATGCTAGGATGCATTGACAGTAAGTGGACTGGGAGGGGTTCTTTTGAGGAGTGAGGAGACTGAAGCATGACAGCAGCAAGGAAACACATAAAAACGTGTCATGACGCGCAGTAGAGATGGGTGCCCTCAGCAGTGGTTCTGTCATCAGGATCAGGCTATATCCAAGTGCTGTTGACGATGGAACCCAGAGAGCACTGTTACAACCGCAGTGCTCTTGGCACTTCAGAATTGTCTAAGACAATAAAAATTCACTTAGAAGGTACTTCCAAATGAAGGGTTGCTTGTGAGATTTTTCATGAATTTTTTGTGAAATATCAATGACAAATCTTGGGTAGAATCTGTTTTCATTTATGCTCTTGAACTTTAAACTTCGGGGAGACTTGAGTTTTAAAGTTCTCTGTTAATACGGAATGAGAAAAATCTTACCTGTTACTGTAATTACCAGAATGACAGTGAAGTGGGTTTTTTTGAAAATTTTTTAAAAAACAGTTTGGTTACATATTTGCCCGTGGTTCAGCATGACAATAAAAAGTCTTTTTCCTACTCCTTTGTCTCCCTGGAATGCTGCCTGAGTTGCATCATATACGGGCATTTATACGGTTGTGTCCAGTGTGTGCATGGTATCCTATTGTACGGATGTACATTAATGCGTGGTACTTAATCACCACATTGATGACCATTTTGGTGGTTTCTGGTATTTTGCTGTTAAAAGCTTTGGTATAATGAATAACTCTGTGTATCTGTAATTCCACATACATGCATGTTTTAAAATAAATTCCTAACAGTAGGCACACTGGATTATTTGCTCAACAGGTAAGTGCATTTGTAACTAAATATGCAGATACATTCACGTTAGTTTTGTTATAGGCCTTTGTTACTGTGTTTTTAATTGAAAAATCTAAAGAGATGAGAAAAATAAAGTTGGTTCCTCCCTCCAAAAAATAAAAAGATTGGGCACAAGTCTACTGATAGAAATAAGCACTGTTCTTGCCTCAGTGGTGGTTGTTCTAGATGGTTCTTGCTGCACTTGTGTGTTCTTTGATTTGTCTTGATGCCAGATGCAGAGCTGAGCACCAGGGGAGAAAAAGCCGCCCCTCCTTAAATTCTTTTTTATCAGAATTTTCCAGGAATAATTAGTAAATGCTGTCATTTAGAATTTGAAGGCTGTTTTAGGAAAAGAATGGAGAATGAGTCATGAACGAGAAGGGGATAGCGCACCATTCTTGGCTCTTTTCATTCGGGTTTTATGTCGGTCATAACTCATTCTCTACTGCAGGCCTGAGAGGGATTTCTTTTTAAGGCCCTAGATCTGAAAAATAAGATTGTTAAGTAGATGATCTTGGTTTCATATGAATTGGTTTAATAAGTTGTAAACAACAGGTAAACCAGATGTCAGCCCTGCCTGTAAAGAATGCTTCCAGCTCTGTCAGGATAAGTGTTGTTATGTCAGATCTTAGTTGAAGTCCAGGCTCCCGTCGCATTTCATTGTTTGTTGAATGTGCGTCCTGCAGGCTCAGCGCTCTCCCGTATTGTCTTTGTGTCTCCCCTGCCGAGTGCAGCTGTGGCGTGGCAGGCCCGCAGAGCGTGTGTCCAGCTCATGGAGTAACCTGATAGTCTAGGCTTTCTTATGCCGCTTGGCTGTGCCTGGGTGATGGTCCCAGATGGCATGCATGGGCAAGGCAGGGATCTCACACTCATTTCCCAGAGTTTTGTTTTGCAGTTTATTACTGTTGAGTGCCTTATAGATCCTTGTCAATTTATTACTACAATGCGTGTATAGTTTTTTATCTGCATGTTATGTGCCCTTGTACCAATGGCTTTTTGTTAGTATAGCGTTTATCACCATCTGAGGAGCAGTATAACCCTTTCAGGGTATTTCTCTTCAAACTCGACTCTCCATTTTCTCCCATTCGTGATTGGCCTTTGCCCCTTAACTTTCACGTTGATAAGGAGAGATTTGCAGTGACTGAGAAGGACTGTCAATAGAACACGAAAATGCCAGTGAAGAGCACTGATGGAGGGTCTCATTTTATAAACTTGTGATTTTTCAGGAGGAGGCAAAGCAGATCCAGAACCTGCAGAAAGCAGGCAGCCGTGCAGACTCTCGGGAGGATGAAATCTCCCCCCCGCCCCCCAACCCCGTGGTGAAGGGCCGGCGGCGACGTGGGGCCATCAGTGCCGAGGTCTACACGGAGGAGGATGCTGCGTCCTATGTTCGGAAGGTACCTGCACTCGGGAATGTCTCCTCTGATGGAACGCGTGCTGTTCCCACTAGTAAACAAACAGGGTGGGCCGTACTCCATCCTGTGCTGTTCCTGGGTACTGGGGAGCAGGTTTCTGCAATAGTAGGCCATCAGAGGAAGTATCTATAGTGATTATAAAACAGTGAGTACTTGAGTTTGGGGGATTTTCTTTTCCGTGGTGGTGTTTTGCAGTGAAAGACCAGACAGTACTCTTTTTTGTCTTGAACTGTGGTGTCAGTTTTTGGACGTCTTCTCATTCATGTGGTGGCTTTAACATTTTGCTCTGTAAGCGTCATTCATCTCCATTGGCTCTTTCTCAGAGCCAGTCTGCCGTTTCCAGTTAAGAGATTAGCCTGAAGGGGGAAGATAATTGAATGATCATACTTTAGAAGATGACCAGTTACCATAAAATGCTTAGGTGTGCCTCAGTAATGACCTTGGGTAAGGTGGTTGTTGACTAGGAACCAAATACCAGCCTTTCAGTACAGGCCTAGTTGTAGACAAAGGGGATTAATTAGTATTTGTTCACTCAAAGTCAGTATTTGTGGGTCAAAGGTAGTGTGAGAGTGTTGTGTTGAAAATACTTAACTCAAAGCAGCCTTGTTCAAATACCTAAGGTATCTTGACATCTAATTGAAATGTCGGTTGCAGTCATGAAGTCGTTTTGGTTTATGGAATGTATGGAATGGTCATTGGACTTTCTGCTCTTTCTAGGTTATACCGAAAGATTATAAGACAATGGCTGCTTTAGCTAAAGCCATTGAAAAGAACGTACTGTTCTCACATCTTGATGATAACGAGAGAAGGTAGGTGATAGTATTTTTCTGGTACAGTTGGGATCCCAAACTAGCTGCCTCATGGTTGCAAGTTTTAAAGGGTCTTCATAATTGTTCACCTGGTGCCACTCCAGGCTGAAAATCTGGAAGCTCTAAGGGTAACTAACAGACTAAGGTCTGTTAGCTCCAAGGTCAGTGTTGCGTAACACGAAGGTTCCTCTCTCCGCAGTGACATCTTCGACGCCATGTTCCCTGTTTCCTTCATCGCTGGCGAGACCGTCATCCAGCAGGGTAAGGCGGCCGCGCTCGCGGTGGAAGCGCCGCTGCTGCGCCGCGCGGCTGCTCCCTGAGCCCGCCGCCTGCCTTCCGGCATGCTGCGATTACAGTCTTCTGAACTAAGAGTGAAAGGCACACTTTGAGTGAGGGACTAGTATTCCCATAATGTCAGTATGGTTTTGTTTATAGTAACTGTTAAAGAAAATTCACGCATTTTTACTTTACAAGGAATTCCAGAGCTACATGTATTTTATATATCCTTGATATGGATTATTAACCAGTCAGAGGAAAATAGAGTAGGAATAAGCCACACACTCAGATTCTTCATCATCTAGCCCATCTCTGTACAAGGCTCTGTACCTTCTGCTGACTCTTTATTTTGCCCACACACCCCGACATGGAGCTCATGTTTTGGGTGTTCCCTCTTTTTTCCTTTCTATTTACTCTCAGTATTTCCATGGGTTTTCATAATCCGTATATTTTCTTCTTTAGTGACAAGGTGATATGTTGTTACTGTTGTATCTTGTTGTTTTAGATGACATGGCAGTTAACATTTCTATACATATAAGTGGCTTGCTTAAGTTATTTTTCAGAGGCATCTTCACCATGAGATGACTGATGACCTGGTCAGTTTTATGACTTGTAAAATATATTGCTGGACTTTTTGGTTTGATTTGTTCTTTAATTCATAATTTGCTTCTGACTTTTTTACTCTCTTCACTTTTAGGTGATGAAGGGGATAACTTCTACGTGATTGACCAAGGAGAGATGGATGTAAGATTTAATAATAGCAAAAATATGTCGAGAATCTTAAAAGTCAGCTTGTTATTTACTGCTTTTTATTTATTTTTTATTTACTGCTTTTTAGAGTGTCTGAAGGACTATTACATCCTTGTATGTTAGATTCCTTTTACAAAATGTTTTACTGACACCAAGAAAGGCCATTTTTACTGACACTAAACCTTTTAAATATAATTTCTTTGGATGAATGTACAGTTCAGAACTTCTGCTAGGTTAGCAGTTAAGGCATGTGTGCATGCTTTTGAGTAGGATAAGGTCGGGGGAGGCTCGGCAGGTCATCAGCTGGGAGACTTGGTACAGCCTTCTGTACTGTACATCTTGTCCCTCCCATAAGAGTGTTAGAAAAGTCGGTGGCATGGCAAGTAAAATGCTAACCAGCACAGTGCCTGGCACAGGCTTCTATAAATACACTTGTTCAGTGGCTGAGTTGTGTCCGACTCTTTGCAACCCCACGGACTGCAGCACGCCAGGCTCTTCTGTCCTCCACTCTCTCCTGGAGGTTACTTAGAGTCATGTCCGTTGAGTCGGTGATGCTATCTAACCATCTCATCCTCTGCTTCCCCCTTCTCCTTTTGGCTGGTAAATACGTAACGAGTACTGTTAATGCCTAGTTCATTTTTTGCTCTCGTCATCCCTTCTGAGGGCCTTTTTCTTACCAGATAATTAAACCAGGTAAATTATAGACACTCTGAACATACTTGATTTGTCAGAAGTCAGGTGTCTTGCTCTGCTATGTACCGGAAAGGTAACATTTAATTTTGTACAAAGTTCAGGATTCTGATCTCTTAAAAAAAAGTGTGCAGGTTTTTAATCCGTATGTATTTGTGTCTGTAGAGATAAGCAGCGCTTTTGTATTTTAGGTCTATGTCAACAATGAATGGGCAACCAGTGTCGGGGAAGGAGGGAGCTTCGGGGAGCTCGCTCTGATCTACGGGACCCCTCGAGCGGCCACTGTGAAGGCCAAGACGAACGTGAAGCTGTGGGGCATTGACCGGGACAGCTACAGGAGGATCCTCATGGTGAGGCCCGTGGGGGTGGGTGCAGACCACTGTCCAGGCTGTGACTCGCGTTCGACAGTACCACCGCGGGAAGGTGGGAATACTTCTACTTGTAATGACTGAAGGCTTGACCTTAGCATTACCCACTACACCGTTTGTGACAGAGATCTTGTAGAACAGAACTTTGGCTGAAACAGTACGGGAGACAAACGGCTGTGTGTGCAGTGGTCAGCTTATGTTTGGGACTGTCTCCGTTGGTCAGCACATCTCCCTTCGGCCAGTCTTCACACAGACAGACGGCTTGATGGACGCTGCGCTGACGCTTCTATGGCAGCAGTTTGAGTTCCTTCTTTCTGTGGAGGATAGGGTTGTGGAGGAGGACCCTGAGCTGGAAGTATACTCAGCTTTACTTGGGGTTTTTTTCCTTTTTTTTTGAGAACTGATTATTTGCTTTTTTGACATTTCAGTATTTGATGAATTCTTTATCTATATACTTGGTGTTCCTTTTAGGAGCAAGTTACTGAGAACTTTTTATTGAACACAGACCTTACCATCTTCAACAGGAGAAAACAAGCAAGCTCTGACTACTGTTGTCAGTTTACCTGAAACATTTCTTACTCCACAGCATTGTGTGAATTACACATTTTAGAAATATGACTTTCTTTTTTTCATTTACAGGGAAGCACGCTGAGAAAGCGGAAGATGTATGAGAAGTTTCTTAGTAAAGTGTCTATTTTAGGTAAGTTGGAAAGTTGCCTGGAGAATCGCTAAATTGAAGTGTTAGTGATGCTTAAGGAAATGGGTTGTTTCATAAAGGTCACTTGAGTTATCAGTGTTTTTTCATAGTGACAAAAAACACAGGAATGTGGAGCTGAAGTTTGGCTACCAAGTAATTTCACTGTGTGTTTAATTTGCTAGTGGGTGGCTGACCTCTTAGTTAGACATAAGTGCTACTGATTTCCTCCTGGAAGGATAGAAAGGCTGGACGTGTCCTCCAGACAGTGGATGGCTGGTTATCCCCGGGATGTGGTCTTCATTGCTCTGTGAGTTTTTTCAGTTCAGGAAAGTGAGTGTTGCCAAGAATGTGTGTCTTCTGTGGAAAGGTTTGGTGTCACTTGCTAGCTTTCTCTGAAAAAATGCTAGAAGTTTGAGGAAATGTAGAGCACCGTAATCAGAGGTGCTTCTATGTGATCTGTTTTGAGGACTTGGAGACATTACAAGCTGGTCTTCATTGGGAGGGAATGGTAAGTTTCATAAGGTCACACAGTCTTAATCATTGTTTTTTACAGTGACTTGATTTTTGTGCCCTTACTTTTCCTTTCTTGGAAATGATTACTTTCTAGTGTCTCATGTGTCAGTTTGGCCTTTGGGAGCATAAGTTATTTTTTAGTTATTCTTGTTGGTTTTGTAAATAAATCTGAGTTATTTCTCTGCATTTCTGGAACAGATTCTTTTTGGGTCCTGTAATTGCAGGTTTGATTTGCATTGATGGCAGTCTTTGGCAATACTTAATGATCACATTCTTTTCATTCCTTTCCTATTGGCTGCAGTTGGTGTAGATTTACCTGGCTCCTGGGCCCCTGAATTCAGGAGGGCACTTGGGCCACCTGTAAGTGACAGGGGGTTGTTGCTAAGAGAGAGGTAGTTGAAGACAGGTGCCAAGTTGAATCTGAGCCACACTAGAGTGTTTTAGTTGACTTTTTTATACTTTTTGTTTTGAAATTTTTAGCAATACCAAGTAACAGAGAAAACTCTTTTGATATCTGCCTTTTAGAATCTCTGGACAAGTGGGAGCGTCTCACGGTAGCTGATGCGTTGGAACCCGTCCAGTTTGAAGATGGGCAGAAGATTGTGGTACAAGGGGAGCCGGGTGATGAGTTCTTCATTATTTTAGAGGTAAAGACGGGGCAGCCCCGGAGGGAGACGGGGCACTGGTTCTCAGTCACAGCTGCTGTTTTGGGGTTACCCGACAGTTTTAGTTAAAGGTTATCACTCCCTTTGAAATGCGGACGTTTGCTTTGCTGCTGCTGCTGCTGAGTCGCTTCAGTCGTGTCCGACTCTGTGCGACCCCATAGACGGCGGCCCACCAGGCTCCCCGTCCCTGGGATTCTTGAGGCAAGAGCACTGGAGTGGGGTGCCATTGCCTTCTCCATGCTTTTCTGCTAGGCCACCACATTTTAAATGAGTTTAAGTCAGAATTGTGGGAAGTACTAGCCAGATTCTAATCTACTCAAATTACTTCTGCTTATACAGGCCAGACAGAACTCGGCCACTCAACTCACAGACTGTGAGGTGATGTTCATTTCTGTTAAAATCATGCCTTTGGGCTGTTTGGCAATAAAGGGCCCAGCTCAGGTCTTTAAATTCTTTGTTTTCCCGTGTTTTATATGCTCATGACCGTCGACATGGAGATCTGCACAGCTGATGTGCTATGAGTGCGGTCAGGAGACGCTGCCGGTATTTCTTGAGCCAGGGGTTGAGGAAGTCTTCGTGAGAAGGGCCAGGCAGTAACTAGTCCAGGCTTTTCTGAGCCCTGGTGTTTCTTTTGCAGATAGAACTCTTCTCACAGTGAGACAGCAGGCAGGGACAGCACCTGGAGGGGCTGGTGTGTCGCTCATGTGTAGCTGTGTCTATAAAGAGGCAGTGTGCCTGGGCCTGGCCCTCCTGCAGCTTCTCACCTCAGTCCCAACCCTGGAAGCCCCCCAGGAACTCCGGGGGGATGGCGGTCAAGCCTGGGCTGACTCTTCAGTCCTCTTCATTACATGAACACAGGGGATTTGAATAGCTGCTGAGTTTTCCTCTGCAGAGCCCTGAAGCCACGCAGGGCGTTTAGCGTGCCCTGGGGTCGGCCGCACTAACACGCGTTGCTCTCCGTTGCCCCCCACAGGGCTCGGCCGCTGTGCTGCAGCGGCGCTCTGAGGACGAAGAGTTCGTGGAAGTGGGAAGGCTGGGGCCTTCGGACTACTTCGGTAAGCGGGCCCCTCAGCGTGAGGCCCCTTCTCGGCAAGCGTCGCAGTCCTTCCTGGTCTTGTTTTCCTTCTCCTGCATTTCAGTTTTTACTTTAGTTTCTTGGCTCTCGGAGAGTTTGACCTTCACTCAGTTAATAATTATGTTACTGTCTCACGTCTGTCATTGGATTGTTTTTTCTGAATTGCGGGTGTCATGTGGCCTGTGCGGGGCTCTCTCTCCGCTCTGAGGGTGCCTCCAGGAAAGCGTTCCGGGAGTGCACCCACTCTCAGCCCTCTCTCCCCTCCAGGCGAGATCGCTCTGCTGATGAACCGGCCCCGTGCAGCCACCGTGGTGGCCCGCGGCCCACTGAAGTGCGTCAAGCTGGACCGGCCGCGGTTCGAGCGCGTTCTCGGCCCGTGCTCCGACATCCTCAAGCGCAACATCCAGCAGTACAACAGCTTCGTGTCCCTGTCTGTCTGAGGCGTGCCCCGCGCCCCAGCCTCCACGCAGATGCTCTGCCCGCGCAGCGCCCTGGGGCCACGGGCACCGCAGCTTCTTGTTGGTTTCTGTTCCAGTTGCTTTTGTGGCACCGTTTTTATTTTGGAGCATTACTGAGTGCTCACACAGTTAAATAAATAGAAGGATTCTCTGGAGACTTTGCTGTCCCTGCTTCTCTGTGCAGTGTTAGTGTTGACACCCAGCCACCCCAACCCCACCCCGGCCCGCTGTCTGCCGAGGGCTGACCCCGCCCCGCCGAGTTACGTGGAGCCTGAGGGGCAGCGCGGGGTTCCCCGAAGTGACCCACGCCTCCTGTTAGCATGAGCAGTCTTCAGACTGTGGCTGTGTGTGCTGTCTGTCTGTATAGAATAAATGACTTCTCATGAAGCTCTGAGGATCAGGAACAGGTATAGCAGAATCTTCATGTAGTAGGACATCTGCCTGTAGTTAAAGTAGCTTGAGGGTGGACTTGCCCGTTGTTGCTATGATAGGACCAGTTGTGGTTTTTTTTAATAAGAGTTTGTACTTGTCAGGCAGGTTTGCCTGGTTGTGTTTATCTCCAGTTGCTAAGGTTCCCTCTTGATCTCTGCAGCATGTGGAGGTGTGGCTATCTGTTCCTGCTTTCTGTGTTTCACACTGAAGCATAAGCTACAAATACCGGTTCTGATTTAACGACATCTGCCTCAGCTCACAGATTCTGATTAGACCTTCCTCTTTCCAGCTAGTGCCAAATACTCATCAGCAGATGCTGAAATGACAATGAGAATTCGAGGTCTGCATTCTTGGTGGTTAACTGGGAGCTTCTGGTTAGTGTGTGTCCTTCAGGTGACTCCAGGATGGTCATCTCTTAAGCTCTGCAAGCCCCGACTCCAGGACAGACACACTCCGTGTCGATGTCGTGACAGAGAAAGGGATGAGGGGTTGCTAAAGGGGGCGATGGCAGGCAGACAGAGTTCAGTGTTGGAACTCTGCCCCCTAAGTTCATTGGGGCAGGGGACTTGGAAGACATTCTTTACTCTGCTTCTGCATCCGCACCGCTCCTCGCCCCGCTTTAAGTCAACTAGACTTTATGGGAGTTGGGGGCGGGGTAGGATGTGTGTGTGTTTCACACCCGTCAGAAAGGCCATCCTGCTGAGAAGTTCTGCTTCCCTATCCACTGTTCTATTCCCTGGGAAACTCCTGTGTAAACTTGTGTTTTGAGTCTTAACTGTATTTCAGTGTTTTCCAGCTTTATCAACCTTGTGTTACACTATTCCATGTGCACCAATGATAACCCCACTGTTCATCTTTATTGTTTTTTTAAACAGCATCTCACAGTTCCGTAATGTAGGCACTTTTATTTGCATTGTGATCTTTATAACATGTAGGGGTATATTTGGGAGTGACTGCAAGTGTTTCTTTTTCCATCTATGTGCAACTGACTCTGATTATTAATCTCTTCTCCTTACCCTTTCCTGGGTCATTAAATTGGTCATGGTACATGTTTTTCACAGATTTGAACAGTTTTTAGGTTGTTACTAGTTTGGAGTATAAATCTGGGAAACATTTTATTTACATTTTAGTGTGGAATAGAAAGCCACCTTATTACAAATTTTTTATTTTTCAAAATTATACTAAATGAGGATTTTTGATCTGTATTTTGTGTTTAGCTGCCTTTTTATATTTAAAAGATTAAAACTTATGTTAATTAGCTTAAAGCTTAATTTGATCTTTGTTTAAATGCCAAAACTGTACTTAACTAAATTATTTAGAATGTCATATGTTTGCACAGTTTCCTATATGTATATAATCATGTTCCATGTATATTTAGATACCTACAATGCTTCCTAAATGAATTTTGCTCTTAAGTCATTTGGCTTTGCTGTTTACCCCTTTTTGTAGTTTTTAACCTAAGAAAATTGAAGTCTGAATTTTAAAATGATCACATTTTAAGCTTTATCTTTGTGCAGTCTGGGTATATATGAGAAACCACAGTTGGCATCATTTGTCTCAGTGGATATCCTGAGCTTTAGCAGTCATCATTTCTGGGCTTGGTAAGGGAGTTTATGAGATCTCCTGCTCTAGACAGTGTGGACCGCCAAAGGACCATTTTGTATTGTTTCTTGGTTACTAGTCCGATTATACTCTGTGTGCTAATATACTCTCTTCTTTTTGTTATAGATTGTCTCAACGGCAGGTCAAGTAATAAAAAGATTAAATAATTTAATTCTTTAATGAATCAGTTTTTCTTCCCTTTCTCCTTTTCTTCTCTTCTCCATCCCCACTCCCCAGAAACTCGGAATCCAAATCCGGCGTGCAAGGATGAAAATTGATTGTAAATTAGGAAATGAGGGGATCATTGAAAGAGTATGGTTGTTTGCAGTGTTTTCCAGCTCAGTTTGTCAGTGAATCTAAAATCCTTACTTTCAGGGTCATTGAGATGTACCGGATCTGTTTACTGAATGATGGAAGGAAAAGATTAAATCAAGGCAAGGAATTCCTTTTTGTTAAGGGTAGACTGGTTCTCTGGCCTTGAAACTTTTCCAGACTGAATGGAAAATACTCCTAGGTCAGTGTGCTCCTTGGTTTAAATTTAACAAGTGCATTTGTATATTTAGGTGTGTGTCTGTGTTTTGCACACATACAAAGTCATTTCTAATATTTATTCCTCACATTTCTGAGGCATGGGATGATTAATTGAGTCTGTTAGAATGGTGGCCTTCATTTCTTCACACCCTGCTGGAACTGTGTGCTGCTTCGTAGAACATGCGCTTTGTCCAGATACAGTCACCTCCTCCCACAGGCCACTAGAGTTGGAATATTTAACAGAATATAATTGAAGAGCATTTTCCTGGGTTGATTAGACTGGTTGTAGATTAATTTTCCCTCTCAAACACTGGCTCCTATGAAATCCTTTTTTAATGATGTGAGTGTATTGATGTCATAAAATTGAAGTTGTATGATGTTAGTTTTCTTAACATTGCCTTCTTTCCAACCACAAATTGATAGCTGAACCCATTCTGTATTTTTGTTAGGCCCTGGCAAGTGTATTTCTAGATGGGCTGAAACAGCATTGAGAAGCAGCGTCTAGATCACCATTTAATGTGACCCCCAAGTAGCTGTCCTAATAGTGAGTGCTGGGTAAGACTGGAGAGGAGAAGCTGAAATCTCTCCCTTCTTACCCTGTGGAATTTTACAAAGAAGCCAGCGTTGTTGAAGGACAAGTTTGTGAAGTGCAGACTCTTCACAGGGTCTGTGGTTCAGAGTCTGTGGCCCTAGGTGCAGAGCTGTGACTTCATCCTGACGCAGCATCCTGACGCAGCCTAAAACCCAAACCCCAGATGAGGCGGGTTTCTTCCTTTTGTGGAAGCTCTGCCAGTGTAGAAAAGCAGCTCTGTGGTTTCCCCAGTCACCACTAGATGGAGAGCTTGTCATCGTCTTTGTTCACCACAGAGTCATCACACAGTTAATCCTAATTCTTCACGGAAGCTGTATTTGCGCATTTTGCAAAACTGTCTGCTCGCTGGGATGTGTTTGTACCCCCAGGTCAGCCCTTGCAGCACTGTCAGGGTCATGCCCAGGCCGGAGCCGGGCAGAGGAGATGCTCTCCTGCCTGACACACGCACCCAGCCCGGGTCACACGAGGCGGTACCCTGCCTTCTCTTTTCAGATTTAGGTCTGTGAGCCGGTTCCCTTTCTGTTGGTCTGTTTAATGCCACTTTTTTTTCTCCCCTGCATTTTTGAGCTTCTCTGGTGGTGATTTCGCTGTTTAAGATGGCCCCCAGAGGAGTCCTCAGCCCCTGGCTAGTGTTCGCAAGTGTAACTCGCTTCTCTCGGGCGTGAGCTGCAGTGCTGTTGGCCACAGGTTCAGCATTCCTGCAGCAGCAGTAGTAGCTGGGGTATCTTCATACACCCAACACAGATAGCAGACGATCACGGGTCGGTTGGCGGGCCACGGTGTAACGAGAGGCTCATGGGAACCTACACGCCTGTTCTAATAGGAGCAAACAGCTGTCTCCCCCCCCAGTCTCTGGTGACCGTCTACCATTTCTCGGTGGTGGTTCTTCAGTCGCTTAGTCGTGTCTGACTCTGACCCCATGGACTGCAGCACGCCAGGCTTCCCTGTCCATCATCATCTCCCAGAGTTTGCTCAAACTCATGTCCATTGAGTTGGTGATGCCACCCAACCATCTCGTCCTCTGTCTAAACCACCATCAACAAGAGACGCAACTACACTTCTTATAGTCTTCAAACCCAGGTGCCCTCTAGGTTTGGGGGAGGCCGAGTTCCTCCAGACCTCTCCACCAGCTCATGATCCATCTGTTCCCTTTCATTATTTTACTTTGCCATCAGTAGTAATGACAGGAACACAAAAAATTCTTACACAGAAGACAAGAATAGTCAGTCTTGGACGTGTTGGAAGAAGCTGATAGTTCCAAGACTGGGGTCTTCTGTTTTTTGGTGTTTTTGACAAATAGTGGAGTCTTAATTTTGGTATTAGTGAAAGAACAATGGTGTGTAAGACAGGTGAGTCAGGAGATAGTTAGGTGCCAGATACACTGGTCACATTCCGTTCTGTCGCTCGGTTTGTGAAGGAGACCAGTGTCTTTATTATCGCAGGCCACCTGAACACGAGAGGCTGGCTTGATGTGGAGCTGGGCTCAGCCTGCCTGGGGCTCTGCCGTTTGGATTTGGGGATCGTTTGTTCTGTCCTTTGGCCACTTCGGCCTGCGTGTTTCCCTGCTGTCCCTCCATTCCCCCTACTCCGGCTCGAAGCAGGATAAACAGTTCGTGAGGGGGGTGCCCCAGGGGCAGGGAGACTCCTCGGTGCTGCAGGGGTTGAGGTCCCTCTACCAAAGACTGGTTTTTGTTGTAAAGTCAACAAACAGCTTCACAAGCCGGGTGTATTTCTGGGTTCAGTGGAAGGAACACTTTGGCAGAGCTGTGACCCCCTAGGTTGTGTGGTTTTAGTTAACCTTCCTGAGCCCCTGTTTCCTTGGCAG